GTACGATACATTGCCAGCATGTTTGATTAAGTCATGAGGTTGCATCAATATTTCAAAAAACGGATGGCGATGTTTTTGCAGTAAGCCGTATGCATTTATTTCCGATCTCTGTCACACCCTTTGGAGCAAAGTTCTCTAGATAACTGTTGGTGATTTTGAGAAAATTCCCACTTGTGGTTTTGTGCTTCTGGCCAAATAGCTCTACAAATATTTGCAGTTTACCACAGCAGCTTTGCATGTGTATGACACTTTAACAAGCCAGCACATTTCCATGGTGATGATAGCAAACGGTTCGCGCCACACCCGCCGTTATACCGCTCCGCCGCGCTAACTCTTTTTCTATTCTTATTCGACGAAGTTCACTCGCTTCTCCTTGACCATCCGTGGAGGCACTTATGAGAGTGACAAAACTTCAGGTCTGTATTTCTCCGACCCCGGCAACACGGCTACACGGTGACACTGTCCTCGGCCGCGGCGTGGTTTACCCGCAGCCGGCGTCGAATTAGATGCGTGTCGAATTTCGTCGTTGTCGCCGTTGGGACCTATCCATTCCAAAAAACATCCAGCGGCAGCAAACTAGCCTGCAATTTCAAATTGGATTTGAGAAATTCAATTCTGCGCTTTGAAAGCAAATAAGGCAGTCAGTTGCTGACGCTATGTGGCACCGTCTACGCCTTACCCTGGCAGGGAGGGCGGGCACGGCGAAGAATGGAACCCGTATCTCTGGTTTCCTACAATCCACTGGCATCCAATTTCACATGTGCGGTTCCAGGCGTGCTGTGCAGCACACAGGGTCCCTTCGCTCCAGCTCAAGACCAGACTGGACAAAATAATGAACTTAAGACCAGTTGTTTGTTTGACATCACATCGGTCTTCAGCTCAACCGCGTATCTTGACCATCGATGTGCAGATGTGCAAACTTTGGGCGCCCAACGTTGCCGTCAGTGTAACCCGTGGAGGACGACAGGCACCGGTCGATTAACAGGCATTCGTCGCTCAGATATTATTTTAGGATTGCAGAGCAGTGCCTGAGTGACTGGGTTTAAGATCTAAATAAATAGTTTCGATGTCACGATCGCGCCCGGTCACTCGATACCGACCCGTCGTCCCTCGGTGTGCCGCTTAATGTGATCCGCCATTGTTCAAATTCGACTTCCGACCGATCTAGAATATCCCGCCATTTTTAAGGAAAATTCTAACGGCAATGAACTAGCCTTCAGTTTCAAATCGGATTGTAGAAATTCAAATCTGCGCTTCGAAACCAAATGAGGCTAAATGCCAAATAAGATTACCATGCATCCAATGTGCGGTGGATAAGTTATTGACCACTGATTACAAAATATAGGTTTTGAGCTTTCCGGTGTGCTTTTACCACATCTCATGCTATACCAATGGTGTTCGCTAGAGCAAGTTGAAAAATACGATTCTTGACGTCATCGCGTATTTTCATCTTTCAGTCCCTCATTAATACGTTATGTGGTCCTAAAACTTGCAAATTGTGGGCGATAAATAGCCCTCAAATGAAGTGTTTTGTGAAATTTAAAAGGATGCCGTGTTACCATGCGGTCGAGTGATTCTTTTGTTGGTCATTCGATTGTTGTCGATTGCCACGATTATTGTTATGGAGTGGCACTTTTGTCTTTTATGTATACATATAATATAATATAATATAGTGCATACCTGTATATATATATATATATCTATATATATATATATATATATATATATATATATATATATATATATATATATATATATATAGTGCGTACTTATGCTAATCCACCATGGTCACGTCCCTTGCCGTTCGTCCGTGCATTTGTTCCCAAAAATGCACGGACGAACGGCAAGGGACGTGACCATGTATGTATGGAGTTACCATACAATTATGGCAGCTCCCTGACATAATCGCAGACCAGAGGGACCCGAACGGGTCGAAGTTCTGCGGTAATCCCGAGATATCGCCTCCCGCCGTGATACATTGCGTGACCATACGCAGTATATCACGGCGTATGGTTACGCAATCTTGGCATGCAAAAAAAACACAATCTTTTGCTGTTGTTTTTTGTCCATACCTCCCTGGCACACAATCTGCCGGTCAATGGCATCTAACTGCCGCGTATTTTTTTGGTTCGGGATCCGTATATTTTTCGCATATTGGGAAAAAGATACTTGATCAGCAACATACTTTCATCGCACTCTGGCCAATGTTTGACCAAAGCGCGATGAAGGTATGAGTGGGGCGTTACGCCCTCCACATCACCGAGTTACATTCTGTGCAGTTACATTACAATTACATTCTGACAATGCGGCGCCCGTTGCAGCATGGCGGCCACGGTGGGCGGCGGCCGGCGGCGCCGGTGCGCCGAGGCCTCTGGCTGCGAGCGGGCCGGCTCGGCCTCCGCCGGCGGCCTGCTCGCACCTATAACATATTGACCATGCGCTTCTGGCATGCAACAAAGTATTTTCGGCGGATTTTAAGGCTTAACAATCAACCCCCGGTGCCTGGGGGTTGATTGTTGAGCCTTACAATCAACTAGGTATCAGGTTCCTAGTGTTTAGGAGGTCTGCATCAACGGCTGCCGTCCCTGGCCCATTTTGCTTATGACACGTCGAAATTAACGTTTTTACCATATACACTGTTACCTACATCTGTTGGCGTCCAGGATATGTATACATATATATAAATATATATATATATATATATATATATATATATATATATATATATATATATATGATGCCTTCTGTGCTCTTTAAACCGCGCCTTTAGCTGCCTTACTAACAGACCAGGAGAAAATATACCCATTCTGTCTGCTCAAGCATTGTTGACACGTTGCATCTCCGGATCAGCACAAGTTTTGCCCAAGTGACCGCGCATCACCAGCTAACATCCTTTTTGAAACACGTTTGCGACTCCATTGCTAACAGAACCCAAACAGGCTCGATGCACTTGGATAGCGTCCCTCAGTTGCTGAAGGACGTGGAGTCCCAGCAGCTCGAGTATCAAGCTGCTTGTGAACAATGGCTACGCATGCTTGTAAACAATGGCTACGCATGCTTGTAAACAATGGCTACGCATGCTCGTAAACAATGGCTACGCATGCTTGTAAACAATGGCTACGCATGCTTGTAAACAATGGCTACGCATGCTTGTAAACAATGGCTACGCATGCTTGTAAACAATGGCTGGTTGTAAACAGCGGCTACCCCCGCTTTCAACCGATGGAAGGGTTACCAGCTGCATGGCGTACATACCGCCGCCAGAAGACTGCAGACGTGTTTAAGACAGGTTAGGCGTAAACGACTCGAATCCGGCACAGAATGGTCGCGTCTATTTTGTTCGAAAATATGCATGCGTACGTGCTTATTGCGCGGTTGTACGCTATCGCCGCATCGTAAACATCACTTCGTGCATGTAGCTAGGTGGGGGTTCTTCCTTAGCCAAGAGACTGCTGTTTAATGCGATCAACGACCAATGCCTTGTTAATCCCAAGTTATGACACCAGTAAGTCGGCGCCGCTCAGTAGCATCTTATGCAACTTTGACACGTCTGTGCGTGCCATGAACAGCGGTTGATTGACCGCCAAGGTCTGGAGAGCAGGAGCGTCAAGTAAGCTAGGAGGTGTATGAACGGGGGGAGGGGGGGGAGGGAGATCTACGTTTCGAATTTCACTATTTCCGTGCACAACTATCGGGTAAGAGTCTATTACAGAGGAAATGACGCTCTTGGCCCATCCCTCTCCTGCGAGCCCGCACGGCCAGACCGCCGGCCTAACACTAATCCACAATTAAACCGCACGTCCTTCAAAGCCACTCACAACGCCCGCATAAGTACGCCGAGGATAACGACGTCCAAAGCCCCTTCAGTCATGCCGATATAATGGCTGGCGTAAGCCAGATTTCCACTGGCGTCCGTTCATCCTGTGGTGAGGCCGGGCAGCAGGCGTCGGATCTCTTCAGCCGCACGAGTCGTGTGGCTAGCTTGCACGTCACTGACAGCACGCTTAAGAAAATCGTCCGCATACCTCGGCGCTCTTTGATGACACCTGTGCTGGCACGTGTCACCGTTTAGATTCCTATGCCGGTATGCTATCATCATGGACGATCTTGTAACCGTCTCAACTGGTCAACATGGATACCTGTTACTCCACAGAGAAAATCGCGGTGCCTCTTGTCGCTGAGCGTCGGCAGCGCCAAGCACAACATCACGTGCTTTTCAAGCCTTTCGGCAAACTTGCGTGTGAAAAACTCTATAAACGTACGCAACTTAACAATTCGTGGCTGAAAAAAATGCGTCAGCCCAAGCGTGTTCTCGAACGGGTAATCGCAGACGGAAAGGAGGGATTGGTGCCAGCGTTTGAATAAGAAAGTGCTCAGTGTTCGAAATACTTAAGTACATCAAAAATACAAGTGTAGCTTAATTATACCACATAGCTACGTACAACTACGATAGGCCTATTCGCGCTGTTTTCATAAGGCGACACTGCATTAACTCTCACTTCGCCGTTTTTCACAACGCGGACCGATGGCTGGGGTCGATGCGCCCCTCCCTCCTCCTCCCTGCCGTTTCTATACTAAGAAAGGCCAAGACCTCCACGCTCTCGTGAAAATGGAGGTGGGTGACGTCACACCATCAGCGACCGTCCGCGAGGCTTTCTCCCCTGGGGGAGGGGGGAAGGGGCTAACACCTACCAGTACGGAGCTCAGAGGCGACTCGTACGAGCCCGGGGAGGAGACTTACCCAAACCTGGGGACGCTCTGGAGGCTCTGCCAAACATGAGGACGTGGAGGACATTCACCCGAACCTGAGGACACGGAGGACATTCACCCGAACCTGAGGATGCGGAAGACATTCACCGAACCTGAGGAAGAGGAGGAGATTCACCCGTACCTGAAGACACGGAAGACATTCACTGAACCTGAGGACAAGGAGGAGATTCCCCCGTACCTGAGGATACAGAGGAGGCTCACCCGAACCTGAGGACACAGAGGAGGCTCACCCGAACTGATAGCCGTCATCGGTTTGCACGTTCTCGTAACTGATGATGGTGGCGTCGCGATCCTCGCCGTCGTAGCCGACGGGAGTCAGCTGGGTGCCGGCAGAGCCAAACGGCGAGCGGCGCTGCTTAACTCCGGCCTCCGCCACCAGGCGGCAGCACAGCACGCCCAACACCTGCCGACACGGCAGTGCGGAGTCAAGGGATAATCTTATATTTGTTTGTCAGCAGAGATGGCTGCTAGGTCATTGGAGTTGCGAACGCTCGGCGTTAAGCGTGTTGCGTGTCAATGAAATACTTGCGCAATGCGCGGGATTCGAACTTGCCTTACGCGACGCGAGGCTCAAATCGTTCAGTTCAGTTCATTTATTATGGGGGGGGGGGGGGGGGGGGGCTTCCGCGTAGTGGTTATTCTGTATCCATTCAATTTTATGTAGGAACGTTGAAACATAGAACTATGCGAGATACACATTGCCAAGGTCGGCATAAATGTAAACACACACACACACACACACACACACACACACACACACACACACACACACACACACACACACACACACACACACACACACACACACACACACACACCACACACACACACACACACACACACACACACACACACACACACACACACACACACACACACACATACACACACACACACACACACACACACACACACACACACACACACACACACACACACACACACACACGCACACACACACACACGCACACACGCACACACACACACGCACACACACACGCACACACACGCACACGCGCACACACACACACACACACGCACACACACACACACACACACACACACACACACACACACACACACACACACACACACACACACACACACACAGCCGCACTTCTCAGTCAAAAAGCCAGAGTCTTAAAGCAGCCAAAAAGGCACGCTGCGATGGAGCGTGATGACTGCCGGGGGTCGGCAGTTCCATGCGGCGGCCGCTCAGTGCGGGAACCGCCGCTGAGTGCCGGCCAGTCTGACACGTTCTAGGTGCAGCGACCTGTCACCCCGGGCCGTGGCTCGGGTATGGCGCTGGGAGGCCTCCGCACGCGCCCAGAAGAGCGAACGCAGAGCGGCGGGCACCCCGCTGACGTGCAATGCACGGCACGCATTGACACAGTCACGTCGGCGCGCCATCTCCGCCACGCTGCACCATCCCAGCGTTTCCAATGCGGGCGTGATGTGGTCGAAACGGCGGATGCCAGTCGCTCAGCCCAGCGGCGAAGTGGATCACCTGGATCACCTGGACCTGGACCTGGATCTGGATCACCTTTAGGACCTGGATCAGATGGCGGTCGGCAGCGCCTCCCAACACGGACAAACAGCCCTGTATGTGTGGGAAGACGTGCGCACGAACGAGAGGCGCCAAAACATCGGGGATGAGGTGGTGCCCAACCTTGAATGACGACATGAGTTTGGCGTTGCAACACCGCACGACCACGGCTATGTGGGCCTCCCATGTCTGGTGTTGGTGGAGGAGTACTCTCAGTGCCCGTATTGCTGTTGAGGGGTGAATATTTAAGTCAGAAATGTTTATATGAAAGCTGCTGATTTATCATGCAAATTTGTGCCGATCAGAGTGATTTTGGTGTTCTCGAGGTTCTTTTTTAGACTGATTGAAACGAAACTTGGAGGCACTGCATGGACTTCCCGACGCGGAATCGAAGTGGGACAGGCCGATGACGTCGGGTGTGGAACTACAAAAAGCTGGGTGTCATCGGCGCAGGCGGCCATGGTGAGGAAGCTGGAGAGGTCGTTGATAAAAAGGAGGAACAGGATTGGCCCGCCCAAGGATCCCTGAGCTACATCGTGTGACAGCGGTAGCGGCTCGGATTCTCCCACCACCTGCTTCCGACCGTGCAGATAGCTGCGAAACCATCCGGAGGCTACACCACACCATTCCAACCTTCTCAGGAGAGCGCCACGGTCGACACTGTCGCGGGCCTTGCTGAGATTGATCGTCGTGAGCGACGCGACATGCCCGCTATCGACGGCCGTTGCGTGCCATACAATAGCGTCGAGCACGGCGTCCTCGGCAGATGGCGCGGTTGGCACGCGTACTGTGACGGCCAAAGCAAGTAGTGATCGAGCAGATATGCGGTGTGTTGAGCACAGACGACTCTTTCAGTAATTTTTGATAGCACAAAGAGGAGCGAGATTGACCGAAATGTGTTAAGACCTGCTGTGTCACCTGCCTTGAACACGAGAGTGACACGAGCGAGTTTCCAGGCGTCGGGAGAAGCACATGAGACGATGGAACAGCTGATCACCTAAACTCGGTGCGAAACGATGACTGGACCACACTTTCTGACAGCCAGCAGAGGGGCACCATCGACGCTGACAGCTCTGGACGTGCTCGGCCGGCCGGTGGCGGCAGACAGCTCGAGCTAAGTTACCGGGCGCAGCTCAGGGCGGAGGCGCAGACGCGGTACGGTCGCGGGTCGGCCGGGGGCTGAGCGGCATCGTCGTGCGCCGCTGCGGCCTCCGCCGCTATTCGGGGGCCCACAGCGACGAAGTGGGCCTTCAAGGCGTCGAGTGAAAACGTGCTCCCCATTCCGACCCTCCGCATCCATAGAAAATTATGGTACCAGATGCTTTGGATGCTGCAAAAATAGCACCTTTTTACCAGGAAATAGATGCTATTTTGTAATCACGACAGGGCACCTATATTAGGCGATGGCACCTATTGCTCAAAAACAGATACCAATCGGTTCAGGACGTTAAGTGATGCCAGAAATAGTTCCGCAGCCGTTGTATCAGGTTCGTGTTATGCACTGTCAAATGGTGATATGCCCGAGCCCCTGAGCTGCAGAGTCCTGTTGATACTTGGCCAACAAGTGCCGACGAATAACGCCACAGGTTGATCAGACATCAGCCAGGCCCGACCTGGGCCGTGGGCTTCGACCCGTAGAGCGCCTAGCCCGGCCACTTTATTAACATCGCCTGACGACTGGCCTCGCGCCCGGTTCTCCACATATGTGTATATATATATATATATATAATATATATATATATATATATATATATATATATATATATATATATACATATATATATATATATATATAAACATATCTGTGTGCATATATGTTTACACATGTAAATATATATCATATTATATATATATCTCTCTCTCTCTCTCTCTCTCTCTCTCTCTCTCTCTCTCTCTCTCTTCTCTCTCTCTCTCTCTCTCTCCTCTCTCTCTCTCTCTCTCTCTCTCTCTCTCTCTCTCTCTCTCTCTCTCTCTCTCTCTCTCTCTCTCTCTCTCTCTCTCTCTCTCTCTCTCTCTCTCTCTCTCTCTCTCTCTCTCTCTCTCTCTCTCTCCCTCTCTCTCGCAAATATGCTGTTTTACCGCTTGTCTTACTTCGTTTGATTATAGCCGACGAGCTGTAGGGCCAAAGGGTTGGACGAAGCGGCCCTTTCGAAACTTAGCGGCTTAGCTCGCGCCTGATTCATCGCGCTTTTGACCGGCCTATATATTCGCGAGCGCAAAGCAACAGCGTATCCACAAATGTCACTCGTCTTTTGCGTGCAGGAGCGCCAGTATGGATGGTTTTATGGTGGGATCTGTAATTTCTAGGTTGTCCTAGTTTGGCCCATGCCTCCTTGCGCAACTTTCTAAATGTGTGATTTAGGGATTTACGGAAGTTGATTGGAAGTTCCGGACGGGTTTGTAGGTTCAATGCACAACAGGTTTGTGCTTTGCGGAAATTTTGCACACGATTTAAAAAACTGTCCAAATATTTATTTGGCTTGTCAGTAAGCCCCCGATTTATTGAATGTGGTGCGTAATCAACACTTCGATCGATTCCACGGCATGGGCGGCACATTTGACCAGCCCGGCCCGATGACGGCACATCTGACCAGCCCGGCCCGATGGCGACACATCTGACCAGCCCGGCCCGATGACGGCACATCTGACCAGCCCGGCCCGATGGTGGCACATCTGACCAACCCAGCCCGATGGCGACACATCTGACCAGCCCGGCCCGATGGTGGCACATCTGACCAACCCGGCCCGATGGCGACACATCTGGCCAGTCCGGCCCGATGGCGACACATCTGATCAACCCGGCCCGATGACGGCACATCTGACCAGTCCGACCCGATGACGGCACATCTGACCAGTCCGACCCGATGACGGCACATCTGATCAGCCCGGCCCCATGGCGACACATCTGACCAGCCCAGTCCGATGGCAGTACATCTGACCAGCCCGGCCCCATGGCAGCGCATCTGACCATCCCGGCCCCATGGCGATAGCGGACTCGACCCCAAAGCAGTTATTGGTTCCTGAACAAATCCGCTCTGAGATCAAAGTTTCATTTGGTGCGTCGCAAACAGCCGCGTCGCAACGTTCTCATCGCAGTCCGACGAAAGTCTCCGTCTTCAAGGCTGGTGTAGACGGGTTCCAGGGTACTGGCTCCACGTGAATGCCAACTGTTCATGACAGTTTAGTGGGAAGTCCGTTCGACACGCTTCGAGAGGATCAGCGATACCCATAAGTACTCCTTACATTGTAAACAAAACAAGACATATGTCCTACATCCATCGTGACAGAAGAGCCTGAGCCTCTGCAGGACGGATCTACACCCACACAGGCGGCCGTCCCACCGACAGAGCGGGACAGAGCGGCTCGCGAGCTGCACCTGACACGCAGGCGGCTCGTTAGCCCAGTTCCGGCGGGGGAGAGGCGCCGTTCCGGAGAACAGGTGGTCAACCCAGCCAGGCAGGCCGTGCTGGCCGGCCATAAACGCCCTGGTCATGGGGAACACATCCTCACCACGGAAAGCCCGACGAGGGACGAAACGCATCACGCGGTCTGGGAAACGAGCACCGCCGCGCCACCTGGGCCCCACTCATCGTTGGAATGCTGCAGGCCCCAGAGGCGTCCGTGTTGCATATACTTAGTGCGCTCGGGCTGGAGTCGACACGGATCTTACACCGGGTGAAGCGCAGTTGTATGTTATGTGTTATTTTGTTATAGTGGTGGTCCGCCGCTATTGAAATTTATTTTGAATATGAACTGCTTTCATTGTTGTAAATGTGTTCCTACGCAATCAGTAACAATAAAAAACTAATTTTCAATGTAACACGAATCCCCGTTATCGCTGTTACTATTCTTATTTA